GTCCCCAGGGTGGATGGGATCTGGGGAAACCCCTAGAGATTTGGGGTGCTCTGTATGTATCCAGGTCCCCAGGGTGGATGGGATCTGGGGAAACCCCTAGAGATTTGGGGTGCTCTGTATGTATCCAGGTCCCCAGGGGAAGAGGGGGTCTGGGGTGACCCCTGGATATTTGGGGTGCTCTGTATGTATGCAGGTCCCCAGGGGAAGAGGGGGTCTGGGGTGACCCCTGGATATTTGGGGTGCTCTGTATGTATGCAGGTCCCCAGGGGAAGAGGGGGTCTGAGGTGACCCCTGGAGATTTGGGGTGCTCTGTATGTATGCAGGTCTCCAGGATGGAGAGGGTCCGGGGTGACCCCTGGAGATTCGGGGTGCTCTGAATGTAACAAGCTCCCAGGGACAGAGGGGGTTTGGGGTGACCCCGAGGGATGTGGGGTGCTCCGTACACCAGGGAGTCCTCGCAGCAGTCCCTGCACCCCTGCTCCCCGTGAACTCATGCCGTCTGTGTTGTGTTTTCTTTCTGTGCCCGGCTCCCGGTCTGTGTGTGTGTCGCTGCCATCTTCATTCTCACCCTCATCACCTCCATCCTCTTCCTCCTCGCCGTCGCGGCACCAGAAACCCGCTGGGCCGGGCCGCAAGGCGCCCGTCAAGCCGGCGCCCAAGCAGCAGAAACGGCAGCAGCTGATGAGCACGGCCCCAGCCTACGGCAAAGCCCCCGGCGGCGGGAAATCCCCCGGCAACGCCAAGTCCCCCGGCAACGCCAAGTCCCCCAGCAACGGCAAATCCCCCGGCAACACAAAGTCCCCTGGCAACGCAAAGTCCCCTGGCAACGCCAAGATGGCAGCTGGGGGGAAACACCTGGCCGTGAAAAATGCCCTGGGCAAGGCCCAGACGGGGGGCAAGGCCTACGCTGGCGCCGGCGCACCCAGGAAACACGGCAACGGCTACCAGCAGGTAGAGCAAGAGCGAGGCATCCAGATCGGTGCTGGGCACCCCCCTGAGGGGGCAGCACGATCTGAGATCTATGGGGAGGAGCATGCTCCCCCCCACCCCATCCCCTCCCTCCCTAATCTGTGCGTCTCGCTCGTGTCTGTTTGTCTGTCTGTGATGGGGCCATTCGGGAAACGCCTTGGCAACATAAATAAACCAGCAGATGGGGAATGTGGGGAAGGCCCCAAATCCCATTCCCTGCCCCCCGAGCCAGCCAGTCCCTGCCCTGGGGCCAGATTGGAGCCGGCGCCCCCTAGAGGGGAAAGGTCCTGTGTCCCATTCCCTGCCCCCCTGAGCCAGCCAGTCCCTGCCCTGGGGCTGGATGGGAGGGAGTGCCCCCTAGACGGGAAAGGTCCCATGTCCCACTTCCTTTACATTTTCTCTGTGTGTTTATTTATCTTGCACCTTCTTTCCCGTGAATGGACACCCCAAGTCCCGCTTGAGTGACAAGGGGTAGTCGCTCCCTGGCAGGGGGCGCTGCAGGGGGGCGCGATTCCATCAGCGATTGGTTTGTCTCTATGTGTCCGGGAAAACGATCCGGGATGAATCCAGTTCCACTATCCCTGCCCCTTCCCCAGGGCAGGGGGGAGAACAAGAATAACCTACTAATACTTCTGTCCTCTTTCTCTCTCTCCTCTAATCCATCTATCCCTTTGCATATCTGTCAAACCGTCCTCATGCCTGTATCTCCATCCATCTCCATGCACTTCCGTTCGTCCACTGCACCCATCCATCCCTGTGCATATCTGCCTGTCTGTCCATCTGTCTATCCATCCCTGGGCATAATCTGCCTGTTTGTCCATCTGTCTATCCATCCCTATGCATGTTTATCCATCCATTGCATCCATCTGTGCATCTGTCCTCATGCAAATCCATCCATCCATCCATCCATCCATCCACATGCAAATCCATCCATCCACATGCACATCCATCCATCCATCTGTCCTCATGCATATCCATCCATCCATCCACATGCATATCCATTCATCCATCTGTCCTCATGCATATCCATCCATCCATCCATCCATCCATCCACATCCATCCATCCATCTGTCCTCATGCATATCCATCCTTCTATCCATCCATCCACTGCACCCATCCATCCCTGTGCATATCTGCCTGTCTGTCCATCTGTCTATCCATCCCTATGCATATCTGCCTGTCTGTCCATCTGTCTATCCATCCCTATGCATGTTCATCCATCCATCCACATGCATATCCATCCATCCATCCATCCATCCATCCATCCATCCATCCATCCACATGCATATCCATCCATCCACATGCATATCCATCCATCCATCCATCCATCCATCCATCCATCCACATGCATATCCCATCCATCCATCCATCCATCCATCCATCCATCC